GGCCCCTATATTTTTACTATAAAAGGATGGTTGTATTTTATCAAATGCTTTTTCTGTATTATTGCAATGATCATATGAATTTTCTCTTTTACTCTATAAATGTGGTTCAATATAGTGAATGATTGTCTAATGTGAAACATTCCTGGGATAAATCCTACTTAACCACAGTGTATCAGGTCTTTCTACATGTTATAAAATTTAACTTACTTTTTGTTTTGTTTTGTTTTTTGAGACAGAGCCTAACTACATAGTCCAGGCTGGTCTTTTAACTCACTAAATAGTCCATGATTGCCTAAAACTCACAATCCTCCTTTCTCAGCCTTCCAGAGTGCTGGAATTACAAGTGTGTGTATTGTCATTACCTGATTAAAGTGATGCCTACCAACTTTCTTTACTCAGTGAAAATTGTACTTTTTCCCTTTATTTTATTTTATTTTTTTATGTATTTAGTACAGGGTCTACAGGGCCTATAGGATCTCACTATACAGCTTGCACTTGTAGTGATCCTTCCTGTTTTTCAGTTTCTCAAGCACTGAGATTACAGGCATGCACCACCATGCCCAGTCTCAATCACCCTGGGGGTAAGGGCCAGCTTGGCAGGCCGGGGATCGAACACCTGGCCCTTGTGTCTGCCTAAGCAGGTGCTTTAATCTGCTGAGCTATCTGGCTAGCCCACTTGTTTCCTTTATGATTGATAAGTTTTTTTTTGCCAAGAGATACTTTAAAATTATATAAATATTCCATTTTTCATCAAAGGTTCACCTAGTAGTTTAGAATCCATTGATGTTTCTTCATTGTGGATATTCTGTTTCCAACTTTCAGCTACTATGAATAATGTAGTTATGGACACTGGTATACACGTATATGTTTAAGTTTATGCTTTAATTTTTTTTGGTAGATGCCTAGTTGTTTTTTTGTTTAAGACACAGTCTTGCTGTGTATTTAAGGCTCAAACTTGCAGCAATCCTCTTGCCTCAGCTTCCTGAATGCTACCAATTTTGTTTTTCAGTGAGTTTTGGCAGTTGGTATCTTTCAAGGAATTAGACCAGTTCATCAATGTTGAATTTATTGACACAAAGGTTTTCTATTATTTTGTTCTTTGGAATATGGAGTGATGCCATCTTTCTCATTCTTGATGGTGATATAATTTATATCTTTCATCTATTTTTGTATTGATCATCCTAGACAGAGATTTCAACTTTACTGATCTTCATAAAGAACTAGCTTTATGTTTCACTGATTTTTCTTTACTGCTTTTCTATTTCATTGACTTTTATTTTGATCTTCAGTATTTCCTTTCTTCTGCTTGCATTAGGCTTTGTCTATCTTTTGCTGACTTTCTTTGTTTGGTGGTCCTGTGGATTATACTCATTCTTTGCACTGAGCTATATATCCCCAGATACTTAAAAAAATTCTTTTTGACCCAGGGTCTTGGATAAGTTGCTAAGCTGTCAAAGCTAGGCTCAAACTTGAGATCCTCCTGGCTCAGTCTCCCAGAGTGGTATGGTTACAGGTATGTGCCATCATGCCCTTCATTGTCCTTTCTCTTTTTTTCCTTCTAACTACCTCTTCTTTCTTTTCTTTTGCTCTTCTTCCTCCTCTACTTCCAGTTCTACTTCTTGGATTTGAATTTAGGGTATGTTAGGCAAGCACTCTACCACTGAGTTTCTAGTCATCCTCTTTATCCTGCTTATAATCTGATCCTCCATGCTTAGCTACCACTGCCCCCCTATGTGTATGCTTATTATCAGATTTACTGATTTTTTAATAAGACTGTGAAAAATGTTATCTCTGGGCAATTTATTTTTTATGTATTTAGTACAGGGTCTACAGGGTCTTGCTGCACAGATTGGACTCGCAGTGATCCTCCTGTTTTCAGCATCCTAAGCACCGGGATTACAGGTGTGTATCACCATGCCTAGTCTCAATTGCTGTTTCAGTGTGCTCTGGGGGTAGGGCTGGCACAGCACACTGGGATCGAACCCCGTCTACCTAAGCAGGTACTTTAATCTGCTGACTTATCAGGCCAGTCCTTATCTCTGGCAATTTAATTTTTCAAGTGTCAGGAACTATTCTAATATTTTTGTACCAGGAATCAAACTCAGGATCTTTCACTTGTATTGGACACAGGGTCTCACTATGCAGCTCAGATTTGTAGTGATCCTCTTGTCTCAGCCTCCCCAGTGCTGGGATTACAGGCATGTGCCACCATGCCTGGGGTTTTGAGGCCTGGGGCTGGCATGGTGTACCTGGGTTTCAAGGCAGTACTGGGGATTGAACTCAGGTCCTTGTGTTTGCCAGGCTGAAGCTTAGACTGCTGAGCTATCTTCCAGTCCCCTGGCTTGAATTTTTTTAACAGACATTTGCATCCCCTTTTCTGTGGGATGTTGAGTCATCCTTTGAGTTTTGTATTGGTTTGTTGATCATCTACATTTATTTGTCCAGGTCTTTTACTTTTTTGAAATAAGCATGCTTTTTTTGGAAATGACACAGCTTGAAGTTATTTTTAATTTTTTAAAAAACACTTTAAAGCTGGGATATACCTTTAGTCCCAGCACTCCAGAGGCTAATATGGGAAGATTCCTTCAACCTAAGAGTTTAGGACTAGCCTTGGCAATACAGTAAGACCCTGTCTAAAACAAAAAATAAAACCAAACAAAACAGCTTTAAAAATCCATGTAGTAGCTGGGCATGGTGGCATTTACCTATAGCCCCAGCTACTTGGGAGACTGAGACAAGATGACTGCAAGTTTAAAGCTAGCTTAGGCACTTCAGTAAGTCCCTGTCTCAAAAAAATAAAAAGCTCAGTGGAAGACCACCCTTGGGTTCAATACCCAGTACCAGAACCAAACCAAAACAAAACAAAGCTCTATGTAGTCTCTTGGTACAAAAATATACAGAACACATACAGGCTGATATTTATTGTATTTCTCGTCTAGGTGCTTATTTTTATTTCTCTTTAAAATGGAGCCTGTGTAGTTAATAGGGAGTATGTGGTGGGATTACAGGCTTAAGAATCCTCTGTACTTCCTTCTTTTTAACAAGGGGCACTAGAAAAATGACAAACTCTGGTATCTTTAAGGAGTTCTGTAGGTCTTAGTCATCACTTCATTAGATCTTCCAGTATCCCTGGGAGGCTGAGGTCATTGACAATGATTTTACATCGTAGATTTTGAAACTGAGGTAAAAGTAACTGATTTTATCATACAGAAGGCTATATTTAGAAGTTAGCTTAAAAAATCATTTAATTCTGTATTCTCAGGGTCATAAAATTAGTATCTAGGGCAACGTTTTGGTTTGACCCAGGTGCTTTTCCTAGTTAAGGAATCAAGGTGAGGATCCTTATCACTCAAAAAGGTCAACAGAGAGTAAATAGCTTCTCTTGTTCAGGAGACTACAGGCCATGCCTTTGTTATGCCATGGCTGGGTAGGCACAGTGGAGATGCTGGAGTCTAAGGTTATATATTTACCTTTGGCAGCAGTCAGCATGGTGGAGGCCAGTTCACACTGCTGTGATTCCAAGTGTCCAAGTGTAAACCAGCGAGGATAACGGCTGGGGACCACAGACACCATATGGTGAGGGTGAGAAGTATCAGCAGCAGAAGCTGAGTTTTCTAAAACAGGTAACCTAGAAAACCCAGGAAGAGTCATCAGCCATCATCTGGACCATAGCCACCTTAGAGAAGCTTGGTCTTTGCTGGGGAGTAATTAGGGAAAGAAATATTAACTAAGAGCATTGAAGGTTTTAAATCCTGTATACTACTCAAAAAAAACAAAGCAAACAAACAAAAAACCAACCTGTATACTATATTCTCTGTGAGGTTAGTACCTAGGCACTTAAGAACTCTAGCTAAATAGTCCTTAGTGCTTAAGCCAAGGATTCTATGCTGGTTTGAAACAAGATTCCTACAGCTCATTGCTTTTGTGTCTTGGTGTGTACATACTTATCCTTATTTTCCCCAGATGTTTCTGGAGACCTATTCCTGGGAACTAATTCAGTTGAGTTATAGAAAGGCTTAAACCCCCTTTTTAGGTTGCCCAGTTGGCTCCAGAATAGGAGATTCAAGTCTTGAGGGCTTCATAAAGCACTCAAGGGTTCTCAAGGGTTTCCTCAGAAAATCCACCAAGAATACAGCTAGAAAGTCATTGAGTCATCAATGAGGAATCCCAGATACAAATCTTAGATCATATGAAATTATCTGAGTCATTTAATGGATTGGTGATAGATCAATGGAACAACTAGAGAAAGAAAGAGAAGAAAGTAGGATAAAGAAAGCACTGGAGAATTCTTCTTTGGTGGAGGCAACTGGTCTAGAATAGACTACTTACCTCATGGCACGCAAAGCTAATTTATAGGACAGATCTGGATCATGAGGCAGCAAAGCTGAGAACAAATACTTGGCAAATGTATGCATGGGAACACTCTCTCGATGTATGACTTCTCCAAGACCACTGAAAGGGCCTCCTGCAGGAAGAAGATAAGCCAGCCAGTTATTTAATCTCTCTGCTTCCATTTGCCAGCTGAGAATCAAGATCCCCTACATGTCATGCATGTTTGCTAGACATGGGAACCTTTATTACTTTTTAATGTCATAAATGTTCCTAAACCTGTGCTCTAGAAGAGAGAAGACCCACAGTCAAAGGCAATGTCTGTGACAGTAGCCCCTTCTATACTTAACTTCCAGCAGTAAGATGCACTGTTTCCGCAGTGTTTGCACGAGCTCGTCATCCAGCTGCAGCTCCTGGAGATGGCTTAGGAGATGCTCCTCATTACGGCACACTTTGTCCTGTGCATACAGGCCTTCGGGCATTACCCTCTGTTGGCCCATACCCATCAGAGCAACTTCCAGGGCTAATGACAGGTAGGACTCACTGCTGTTTGTGCATCCCGCAGCCACAGGTACATGCTGGTACAAAGGGAGTCTGCTTTCATTCATATCTGAGGACAACAGATAATCTTTAGGACAGGTCTGGTGGTTTGTTCTGTCTCTACCTCCCACTTTGGAATACTGCTTGGTCAACAGTTATCACAGAAGCTGAGTCAGAACCCTATAGCAGTGAGAAAAATCTACTGAAAAAAGTTACACAGAACCACAAAGATTTCTACTTTCTCATAATATATGAACAGATTAGGCCAGTTAGGGAGTATAAAATCTTTCTTTTGAAGCACACAATGAAATGTCATAATTGTCTGGTTTTGTGCCTATTTTACTATCATTAAAGAGATGAGATGATTATATTGTTGTAGGAATTTCTAGAGCCTGAGATATGGAAGGAACTAAGTATATGTCTATGATGAACAAATAAACCAAATATAACTTTAGGGCAGTCAGGTAGCTCAGTGGACTAAAGCACCTGCTTAGGCAGAGCACAGGGACTGGGATCTGATCCCTGGCACCACCAGCCATGCCAACCCTGCCCCCAGGGCATGCTGGGACAGTGATTGAGACTGGGCATGGTAGTGCACCTGTAACTCTAGTGCTTGGGAGACTGAAAACAGGCAGATCACTATGAGTCAGATCTATGAAGTGAAACCATATAGACCCTGTATTAAATACATAAAACACAACAACAACAAAAACCAAATATAACTGTAGGTTTTCAGGCTATAAGCAAAATATCATCATGCAGATGAAACAGATTAAAGATAATAATTTCTTGTAGAGGGGCTGGGGAGATAACTTGGCAGTCTAAGTGCCTGCTTGGCAAGTACAAGGACCACCCTGGTCTTGCATGCCATGCTGGTTCCAAAATTGGGCATGGTGGCACACACCTGTAATCCCAGCACTGGGGAGGCTGGGACAGGAGAATCACTATGAGTCCAAGCTGCG